TTTTTTCTTTTGTCAGAACTGGGGATTGAACTCAGGTCCTTGCGCTTGCCAGGCAAGTGCTTATTCTACTGAGCCATCTCCCCGCCCCGGCGCTTTGGTTCTTAATGGCTCTACCGAGATCCACGCGGTGGAGGCTTGGTCTCTTTAAGAGGCTGTGTATCCAGGCACACTCCCGGAATCCCAGCACCCCGGAAGCTGAGGCAGGAGGGTTACAACCTGGATAGTTTAACTTAGCAAGACTCTGTCTAAAATAAATAAAGAAACAAATCAGTGTTGGAGCCTGCAGCTTAGTGAGAAGACTCCAGGTTCAAACCCTGGTGATCCAGAAGACAGGGCGTGGCAATGCCGGCTGGGGAAAAGGCGGGGACCTCTGGCAAGGACGAGATCCCTGGACGGGGCCAAACAACTGTCAGGACCGGGGACGCAGAGCTTCTCTCAGGATTCCACAAGATGTGGATAGCATAAAGGAAGATGTAAGTCCATGAGGAGCACCCTACTGTGGCTTCCAGCAGCAGCCCAGGCTGTGTTTCTCGGACACAGTGTGTACTTGTATTTTTGCTTTTATCTTCTTTTTTCTCTTGTTTGCCCAAGTTTGGTTTGCAGAGCTGGTTTCTCCCATACCAGTTACACCTTCTTTCCTTCCTTTCTTTGTCCCCGTCCCCCCACCCCCCCTCATCAGGGTCTTGCTACATAGTTCAGGCTGGCTTTAAACTCACGGTGATCCTCCTGCCTCAGCCTCCTGAGTTGCTGGGATTATAAGCATGTCCCATCACACTCAGACACCCTTCACTTTTCAAATAAACTTTTGTCACCTCTTTTGGCATGTATCATACAATTCTTTGTTCACTTAAGAAGGACCTGGATTACTTCTGATTGGTGAGCCATTCTAAGGAAGCTACTTGATATCATCAGTACTGAAAAAAAAAAGAGGTGGGGTCTGTGGTGGGGTGGTCTTTAGGTCACTGGAGGGGCGACCCAGAAGGGACTTCAGGACTCTGGCTTCTCCTGTTTTCTTTTTCTTGTTTCTAGGCCAGGAGCTGAGTGGTGGTTTTGTTCCACCAGGCTGTGCCCACTTAGATGGGCTGTCTCCCACAGGTGGAGGACAGTGTGCCCGATCCCCGTGGCCCAGAGCCTCCAAAGTTGTGAACCTGAGGGGACCGTCCCTCTCTGAGAATGGACCGGTTTAGGGATTAGCAGTGGTGGCGTAAAGCGGGCTGACACAAGGCATGTGGCAATGCACGGCATCAGGAAGGCTAGGTGAGGAAAGGTTCATGGGGGCTGGAGAGATGGCTCAGTAGAATAGGTGCTTGCCTGGCAAGCACAGGGGCCTGAGTTCAATCTCTGGTACAAGAAAAAAAAAAAAGCCTCATGGGGTGGTAACACAACCTCAGGGCTCCATCATGCCAAATATTAACTGGCGCTGGGGTCATGAGGAGCAGAGGAAGCTAGGGGCAGTGCACAGGGTGCCTGAAGCTGCTGGGTGGGAGGCGGGCTGGACAGGTCACAGGTGAGCATGGGGCGGGTGGTGAGCCCCTGGGTCTGGGGCCAGGCTCAGGGTCCTTCACTCTGCCCCAACTCTAGTGGCTCTAGGAAAGTGCATCCCATCTGGCAGCTGAGTTGCTCCTCCTGGTGTCAAACTCAGTGACGGCCCTGGGACTGAAACTAGAGGTCAGCTGGATGTGGTGGTGCCCGCCTGTACCTAGCCCTCTGGGAGTTTGAGGCCAAAGGACTACAAACTCAAGCCTGGCCTGGAAAATTTATCCACTTATGGGAAACCCTGTTGCAAAGTAGGAGGCAGGGATGTCACTCAGTGCAGAGGTCCTGGGTTCAAACCCTCATCCCGAAGGAAAAGAAAGATTGGTGATTGTAGATGGGATGGGGTGACTGGAGTCGAAGCCTCTTCCAACCCCCACTGCAGCCCCAGAGCAGCCACACTGGTACTCGCAACCCGGTGGACAGAGGGAAACACCAGTGTGTGGGGGTGCTGGTGGGGGAACCCAGTGGCCTGGTGCTGCGAGTGGGGCCCTGGCCCTGAGTCTGCCCATTCATTATCTTGGCTGATTCCTGCCACTCCTCTGTCCCAGCTCCTGTGTCCCGCTTCCTGTGGGCTCTCCCCAGGGCCGGGCCTGGCCTTCTCAGTGCCCATTATTCTGCGAGGCACCTCCAGGGAAATACCACAAAGAGGAACTCGGTCCTCTGCTCACAGTATTATTACCGTTCACAGTGCTGTCATCACTATGGCCAGGGCCAGCGACATTCTCCCTTTCATCCCGTCCCCCAGGGAAACGTTTAGGTCACTGGTATTAAACACCCAAAGCTCAAGCCCGGGGGGGGGGGTGCCACACTTGGCATGGCATGCTTGGGACTTTAGGAGAGGGCCTGTGGGATGACGGCTCTAATTGGAAAGAGAGAATAAAGCCAGGCTTGGCAGTCCAAGTTTGTAATCCCAGCATTCTGGGAGGATGAATCAGGAGGATCAGAAGTTTGAGCCCCACCTAGGTAGTGACAAGGCCCTGTCTGAAAATGTAAAAAAACATTGAGAAATGAGGGGTGTGGGTGGGGGTGGGGGAGATGTAGCTCTGTGCCAAGAACTGAGTTCAGTCCGCAGTAGAGGAACAGGGAAAAGGAAGGAAAGGCCAGGCCTTTGAAGCTTTTCACGTGGGCCCCCATCTGCTGGCCCCCACCCCCATAAAACCCCCCAATCTGAGCTTCGAGGGGGCGAGCCACTGGAGCGGGACTCTGTTTATCCGCGGGGTCTGGCGCCAAGGCTGCGCTTCCTGGAAGCTGAGCTCTTCTCTATTAATTTCCGCGCCTAAGTGCTCCACTTTCTCTGCCGCCCGGAGGCCCTGGCTGGGTCAGGCCGGTGCCCTGCACTCCTGGGCGTGGGGTGCGTGGCGAAGGGGACCCAGAGGGCCAATGTACGGAGGGAGACACTCACCGTCTCTGAGGGGCACCACGAACAGCAGCAGCAGCCACAGTACGGCGTGGGCCATGCCGGGCCAAGGCAGCAGCGGCACTGCTTTCTGCTCCTGAGCCCACAAGGACTGACACGAGTTGCCCAGCCCCGCTGCGCTACAGTCCCTCGGAGGGCAGGGCCCTGCGCTGGGTGCCCGCCCTGGGATGGGAGTGGTGGGGGTGACGTCAGCGGCAGCGGAGGGGGGGACGGGGCGGGGCTTCCCGCTTCCCAGGGGTCCAAGAGATGGTCTATGTGCTGCTGACCCCGGGACGCTTCCCATGGGAAGATCGCGCTGTCCCGGGGAGGAAACTAAGGCACGCAGAGATTCACGGTGGATGCCAAGAAGCAGAGCTGACAGGGTCAGAGGCCAGTGGCTAGGGTGTTTTTGGGTGCGGGCCTGTTATCCCAGCCTTTAGGAGACTGAGGAGGAAAATAGAAGTTGGAGACAGGTCTGGGCAATTTAGCAAAAAACAAACAAAAAGAGCCGGGCATGGTGGTGCAAGCTTGTATCCCAGCACTGAGACAAGGGAGCCACTACGAGACCAGCATGAGCTACAAAGTGAGCTAAAGGCCAGACTGAGCTGCATAGAAAGACCCTCTCTCAAAAAGAACAACATAAGTAAGTACATAACTAAATATTAAAAAAAAAAAAAAGGGCTGGAGATATATAGCTTAGTGCAGAGCCTGGGGTTCAGCCCCAGTGTCACAAAAAGGGGCAGAGGGTCATCAGGGGTCTTGACCACCAGCTCCTTCCACTAGGTGAGCTCATACCAGGCAAGTTGGTTCTTGTGGAGCCTGTTTCCTCCTCTGAAAGCCCAGCCTCATAACAGTGCTCGCCTGGGGGGGACGGTTTGTGAGGCTGAAACAGGAAACTTTGCCGGGCTGGTCCATAGCTTCCACCGTGAAGACAGCTACTCCTGCAGGTAATGCCAGGGCAGGCTGGGGCGCTGCTCGGTGACAGAGCAAGTGCTTACTGTACGTGAGGCCGTGCATTCCGTCTGCAGCAGCCCGAATCAAGCCATTTTATAATAAAGAACAAGTGAATGCCCACTCACGAAAACAGTGGTTCATTTTTTTCCTCCTTCCACCATCCTTGGTCTCATTTCCTGGGGCCTGGGATAGAGCCACAGAGAACCCAGCAGAGCAGGCCTGGCTGTAGAGTCTGGGTGCTTGGGGAGGGGACAGATGGGAACATTGACGGCAGAACTCCATCAGGTCTGGAGAAAGAGGATTATGGAGAATGAGGAGATACAGTGCAAGGGTGGGGGATGGAGGGACCCAGGCAGAGACTGAGAACGAAGTAAGGAGAGAGAAGCAGACACAGGTGGTGGCAGATTTAGTGGCATGTCACCCGCCTGTAATCTCAGTGCTCTGGGAGGCTGAGGCAGGAGAGCCACAATTTTGAGTCCAGCCATGGCAATTTAGTGACTTAGTGTGACCCTATCTCAAAATAAGAAATGAAGAAAGGAAAAATGGTTGGGGGTGTAGGTCAGCAGGTCAGCATGAAGATTCTGTTCCGACCACAGTGCAAGGAAAAAGGAAAATAAAAAAAGACCAAGCCAAGGGAGAAAAGAGTAGTGACAGGGGGACCAGAGAGCTAGAAACTCAGAGACAGAGCCTGGGAAGTGTCCTGGTCCCTAGAGGTGTCCCTCCAAGCTAGTGTCCCATGTGGCTCCCAACACCTCCAGTCCCTGCTCCTGGACGTCCCTGTATATGTGTAGGAAATTCCTTCTTTGGGTGGCTGCCTTAGAAAGTTCTGTCCCTGGCCACCATGGTCCCCAATGCCAGGGGTGCCGACTAGTTGTAGTCACCCTAGAAGTATGCAGGTGAATTTCTGAATGAAATCACACAAGCAGGGCTCTTGGAAATCTCTGAAATTTCTAGCATCCTTGTTCTGCTATTTCTTAACTGGGAACTTGTGATCATGGTTTTGTTCCTTTTCTGGGTCATGCTGTCATCACCCCCGCTTCCCCACCCCCCGTCTCCACCTCTGCTGAGCTCCACTCTTGCCCTGATGATGTTTGACTGCACTTTTGGGGTGCCTCAGCCCTGCTCCGCCTCCTCCTCACTGGGCATCTAACTCTCTAGTGGTACAGATGGGGCCTGAGCAATTTCATGTCATAAGATGTTGCAGGCTCTCCAGTGTGGGGAAAAAGCCACATCTGTAAACACACATCTGTAATCTCAGCACTCAGGAGGCTGAGGCAGGAGGGTTGTCACAAGTTCAAAGTCAGACAGGTCTACATGGTGAGACCCTGTCTCAAACAAAACTAAACAAAAGAGAGGGGACAAGGCAGGGTTGAGGGCAGGGATGGGACAAAGGTTGTGATGGAGCCAGAGTTTGGGATCAGGAAGTGGGACAGTCTCAGGGAGGGGACTGGAGGTACTGGGGGTCAAAGATGTAGTGAGGGCCAGAGGAGGGGAAGGGGCTTTAGATTCCTGGTCAGAAAGTCATTCAGCTACTATCAACACGGCTGGGTTAAGTAAGATGCTTTTTTTCTGGCCAGTGCGGATGGGAGGCGCCTGTGGTGGAGGGAGATTGCTATTGGTCAGGATGAGTGGGCTGAGCTAAGAAACTGTGGTTTCCCTGCCAACTGCTCCCCACCTCTGAGCCCTGAGGGCGGGGTGAGAGATTCAGTGAGTCACCCCTTTTGTGGCTCCTACAGCCTTCTGGACTCCCAGCCTTGGGCCTTTGGGCTCCTGTGTTCATTCAGCCAATGCAAATTTATTGAGCACCTACTATGTGCCACCCCTGTCCCAGGTGCAGGAGACACATCATGAGCAAGAGGTTGCATGCTGGGGCAGGAGGTGGGAGAGACCACCTGTACCGAAGGAGGCAGGTGCCATGTCAGAGCAAGGCAGAGGCTACAGGTGTCAGATGACAGGATCCTCTGACCATCATCACCTGGGGCTTTAGGGGAAGGCAGCCAGTGATCTGCCTGCCTCTGCAAAAAGAAGAGAGCAGCAGGTTTTCAGTGGTTTCTGGGGTGAATTAGAGTCTAGTAATTCCCATGGCCGGAGGCTCCATTCTGAAAGATGTGGCAGGCTTAGATCATGTGGTTGTGGTCATCTCTTCCTAGATGCGTCACATTGCGTGCACCTGGCACCAGCGTCCTGCACATCCGGGCCTCGCGGGTGGTGGGCTAACACAAGGTCTGCTTCGCTCTGGATCTGCTGAGCTGCTCTTGTGGCTGGTGTCATCTCCCGCATGCACGCCTGGGGCTTGGGACAGGGAAGGGCATTCAGCGCTTGGGCTGCCCAGGAAGCGGGACACAGCCCAGCTCGCACAGGCCCTGCTCACCTGTGTGGTCTCGGACACAACATTTCTTAAATGGGGGCCAGTGAGATAGCTCAGGGGACTAAGTGCCCAGGCAAGCACAGGGACTGGGTTCAATCCGGCACCACATGTCACACCCCGAGCTGGCCACCGAGCCCGGGAGTGGTGGCACACGCCTGTAATCCCAGTGTTGGGGAGTCTGAAAACAGGAGGATCCCTGAGTCCAAGCTGCATAGTGAGACCTTGTACCAAATACATAAAACAGAACAAAGCATTTCTTAAATGGTCTTCATGTCCACGCACAAAGCCCGGTAGAATCTGACCCCAGGCTTAGGATGATGGCACAGGGGGGGCAGATATGGCAGAGCACAAGCGCCAGGCCTTTACCCCATCCAGCCACCCACCGGGCAGCTGCAGGCCCTGTGAAGGATCGGTGTGCTCAGCAGAATCAACCTCAGGTCCCCTGGAAGTAACCCGGGTGCTGTTATCACAACGTACACACGGGGTGGGAGGTGACCCACGGCACAGACTGGGAAGCGAGCACTGTGTCCTCCAGCTGTGTGGCTCCAAAAACTGACAATTTTATATTGACTAAGAGTGAGCGGGGCTGAAGGGCTTGTTTAGGTTTTTGTCTCGGAGTCATTTCTCCATCCCTGCAGATGGAGCCTCCGGTCCAGCGAGCCCCAGTAACAGGCCTGGTCGCCCGTGAGTTGTGAGTGGAAGTAAGGTGGGCTGATTCAGGGCCGGAGTTGCAAAGCGTAGCCTGAGCTGTCCCTGGCCTTTCTCTGGTCACCATGGCTTCTGTTCCAGGAGTTGTCATTCCTTTAGCCCTGATCTCAGGACAAGGATATGTGGAGAGAACCCTCAGCCAGCTTGCAAAGGGGTTAGGAAGTAGGTGTCACCTGTAATTACAAGATCCTGGAACACATGCGCATAACAGCTTCCAAGCCCTGCGCTTGGGTTTCTCTTGAGAGCTGGCACGGGTTCTCACTAGGACGGCCTGACCTGTGGGATCCCAGTGCCACCTGTCAGGACCCAAATGCCGAAGTTCTCGAGGGTTTCCCTGAGATTGGCACAGTACAGAGGCCACGCCGAAGACGAGACCTTACTATTGTGGCCTTTCCTGGTAGTAGCCCAACCTGCTTTCTCTAGGGTGTTTTTTATTTTTATTTTTATTTTTTTTATTTGTTTTTATCTTGTTTAGGGGCTCTCAGAATGCATATTGCCTCCAAATGCACCCTAGTTTTAATTATTATAGTCCTGACATGTAGTGCATAGTTATGAGCCTTTAACGAGCTGAGTCTATGTGTGACCAGAAGGGCAGGCTGGGCAATCCAGTGTGTATGTGCTGGCGCCTAGTTACCATCTCCTCTGCCTTTGTTATGTTTCCCAGCTCTGTTGTTTCTAACTGTCCTACCCACAATTCATTGGATGAAACAGACTTGGTTAAACTATTACTCACTTACAAAATGGCAAACTTTTGTTTTGCTTTGGGAATTAAATCCACACAGCATCGAGGTACATCTCCAGTCCTTTTTCCTTAATTTTTAAGTTTTTGAAACAAATTCTCCTTCAGTTGCTCAGGTTGGGCCAAAACAATCCTGCCGCAGCCTCCTGCATGACTAGGATAACAGGTGTCCCCCAGTGCCTGGTTTAAAGAGGTTGGCGGGGGAGGGGGCGGTGTATGCAACTGGAGGGCGTAACCTGGGCAAGTGCAGCTGCCCTGGGAGTTTTTAATGAGCAGGAGCAAATGGAGTGGAGGAGGGAAGGCAGAGCATTGCCTGGCAGGAGAGCCCAGCAAGACCACCCGGAGAGAGCTGGCGAGCCCCTCCCAG